CTAAACGCACGTCGTCTGACTTCACCATCTCCAGGGTTCTTGCTTGTCCTTCCTGTCGCGTGACAACGGCGATCCCTCCCATGCGACCCAAGTAACGGAGGAGCGCCGCGCTGATACCTCCTCGAATGCTCTCCGCTCGACCACGAATGCGATCATCTCCAGCTGTCCCTCAACTTCCCTGACCAGAGCGACATCCCGCGCAGGTCGGCATGCCAACCGTCGCACCCCAGCGACGACCACCACTCAGTTAGCGCTGAGCGAGCATTTCAACGCCCCGATCCGCCCCCATGTCTGGTACAGCAAGCGGCGCACCTGGTCTCGCGCGCAGCTAGACCAAGAGCGCAAGGAATTCTTCGAGACCCGCGTCACCGGTCGAGCAGAGGTGTGGGCCGCCTTGGCCGCGGCGATCTCGTTCATGCATGTGAACGACCTGGCTACGGCGCAGAGTATCATCGATGCGGCGGGTGTCACCGTGCCTACGGGAGACCTTTGCCAGGGCTGTTACGATGAGCAAGGTGCCCTCTACCGTCTGCCTCGGTGTATCGTGAGCGACCCGGAGAACATGGTGCAGGATGACTCAGCCAGTCGCCGTGATGATGGCTACGACGACTTTGACACGGATGATTCAAAGCTGTCGCTGGACGAGGCATCGGGTGATGAGCTGATTGGCGGTGACTCTGAAGACCGCAGGGATGAGAAGGGCAAGATAAGCGAGCGCGACTTGATCCGGGTCACTGCGCGCTTGAGCAACTGCGGATCGGACGTTGTCGTTTCAGTCGGCAAGAACCAGACCGTGAGCTTAATTGCCCGCAGGGTGCAGCAAGAGGCCGGGGTATGTCTTGTTTTACTGTGCAGTCTCCGCTGATCAAGCAGAATCCTAACATCGTCTTGAGCAGATCCCTGCAAATCAACGGGTAAGGATCGTCTACCTGGGTAGGATGCTCCGCGAAAATACGCCTCTTGTGAACCAGGGTTGGAAAGCAGGCAATATAATCAACGCCTTGGTCGTCGCCAGGCCTTCGGCCTCGTCACAACCGTCCGTCCATACCACATAAACAGTCCTAGAGGGCACTTCAGCGACCTCTCGTTTATCCTCGACCCTTGGAGTCGGGATACTGTTCTTTATTATGACATGACACCTCACCTTTATGCTGTTACGATCTTTGCAATCTCGTGGCGTCCAGTGTTCAGCCGGTTCGCATAATACCCACTCGTCTTGTTTTTCAGCCTGGTGTGGTGCGCTTCATTTCTGTTTTATTATATGGTCTATCTCCTACCACGCGCCGGCGTTTCGTGTCGTCCCCGTCTATCAATGATTTCTCCTTTTTATTTGTGCTTGAATCTAGTCTGGTAGTATCGATGAGCAAATCAATTTACTGCTTCATATTTACTACCTATCTATGGCTATGGTATAAACAACATGCGCTACACATGAGGTGGAGTTGCACGATATATATTTCCTCAGATCAGCGCCGCTGGGGATTCCCTTCACGAACGCAACTTAATCAGTCCATAAGATTGACACAGGTAGAAACTCTCCTTATGAGCGTTATCACTCCATATCCAAAGTGAAATAGCGCGAAAAAATATAATAAATAATAAACAATAATAACTATAGAGGGATGGCATAGGAGTATGGAATGAAAGCAAAAAGAAAGATCTATGCATCATCCGTGAATCGAACACGGGCCTCGTCGATGGCAACGACGAATTCTACCACTAGACCAATGATGCTAGGTTGTGTAGTTTATTCTTAAATAAACTTATGAGGAGACAAGTATTCTGCAGAGCAACTCGGACAAATGAGCCAGAGGAACATACACCTACACATGCTTAACGGTGCCAGTTCAAGCGAGAGCCCCAAAAATACCTTGAATACAAAGAAGCTGCAGCTCGTCTAATGCAACCGGGCACTCTCTCCGTTCCCTAGGCGTCGTCTCAGAGCTCCTCTTGAAAAGACGATACGACACCAGCTCCTTGACGCCCTGGCCACCCACGTAGGATTATAATGATTGACAGAACAGGCGTAGTACAACAGGACCGTTTCAAGGATGTTGAATGGCGAGGGAAAAATTACTGTATACTGAATCTAGAAAGTATGATAGGAAGAAGCGTATTTCTATTCGATCAGATAATTAATCTAGAAGACTTTAATCCTCCGAGATAACTTGAGCCATCCTCTCGCACTGAAGGAAAAAATAGAATTAAGCTTTTCGGATATGTGATAAGTTAGTTATAGGCTCAACCCGAGTATGCTGGAGTGAGAGCCTTAGAAATCGCAGGGCAGGGTAGCGTTGCACAGGAGGCAAGCTAAAATGAATGATGTGTTCGGTTTCTTGCTTAGCTGATGGACTAAGATGCTTGATACCCTCGTCTAATTAGAACTGCGTGCATAGACCAAATACCACCTCGTCGATCCTCTCGATTACGGTGAAGTTGCTAGGATCCCTGAAAATTGATCCCTGAAGGGGCCCCGCCTAGAGGCAACGGCTCTCAACGCTCACTTCGTTCTGGTTCAACAAGATCCTTCGCAAGCTGAAACGCCATTGCGATATTTGCACGTTCACCGATACCCCTAAGTTGCTTGATGACCCATTGGCGATTTTGTTGACTGATAGCAGGAGATTTACCGACTGTATACAGATTCCAGATCAGCATATATCCACCCGACACGTTGGGTTCTTGGGGTCTATCAGCATCAGGGACCGATACAAGCCCTAGGCCCTGTGGAACGCTGGCCAGTATCTCCGCTCCTCGTTTTGAAATAATCTGCATTGCATACCGGAGCTTCGATTGAAGCTTCAGGTGGCCCTCAGCGGGATAAGCCGGCTCCTCGGTGAGTATCTTGTTTATGAGCCAGCATATAATCTCGCAAACGATGATTTCAACCATTCGACAGTTGTTCCAGAGTCTTATTGCCCAAGATGTCTTGTATAGGTCATATTGGCCATTACAAGAAATGAAGGTCGTGCTCTCACGGGGTTCCCTGATTGTTATATACGGTTCTTGCCTAGTAAGGATATCAAGAACATATTGAAAATCACTCTGAATCGCGATCGATTCTTCTAGGAAGTCCGACCAGGACGTGGGTATCAGTGAAGACTTGTCATCATACTTCTTTGCGACGTCCGCGTAAAGGGTTGCGCACCGCGTGGCGAGCACTCCGAGTAACCAGAATGCATCCGAACGGTCAGTATACTTGGTCGCCTCTTCCTGCAGCTCCCGCAGGTCGTCTGGAAACGGCTGTACGGTCTGAATACAAGCAGTTGACATATCGGCGCGCACCTGGTTGAACATCAGGATGGCAGGCCTACGGGCAAATTGAGATTCGCCGCGGGCAACCACCAACGCTGCAGCTCCTTTGACATGCCGAACCCAAGACTCAAAATTGGAGATGTGCTCGAAAACTCCCAGCGATATCACCGACATCAAGGTGCTGTCTTTGACGGACTCCGCCGGGGATGCTAACGCCTGGTTCACAAGGCGGATCGCCTCTGAGTATTTGGCACGCGCACGAATGACCAACTCGGGCTGGTGAGAGGCCAACGCGACGAGGCCCACAGCCGCCATACTGGCAACGAGGGCCGGGTGCTCCGCATCGGCAGAATAGACCGTCGGGATATAGTTCAGATATCCGCGTGAAGGGGAGAGACCACCCGCGACAAAGTCCCGGAGGAAATAATTCACGCCTATCTCCTCGAGACTGGGATCTAGACCTCGGGTAGGTGGAACCAACGGGATAGCCCTAGTCGAGAACCCATTCGTTTCTCGTGTCTTACTGGACCGTTTGATGGTGTGGTTTGTCTGGTCACGGAAGATTAAATCCCATTCATCGCGGTATCCAAGGCAAATTTCGCGCGTGCGAATGCATTGACCACACTGGGGAACATCCTTGTCGCACTGGATCACCGTGTTAGTGCTAGTGTCATTAGAATGGTAAGGAAAGACCCACGCGTCGTTTCACGACTCGGCAATTCTCGCAACTTCGGGATGTTCTTGCGCGAGGTGCCTTGAGTTTGGGCATATTGAAGCATCCGTGGACAAGGCGATCAATGATGATGATGAGACTACGAAGAGGAAAGGGAGGCTGGTGTTTGAAGACTGTTGCTCATCGACAGTGCTGACGTGAGCTGAAGACAGCTGGATTAACCTTAGAAACTACACAAACAACCATTCACGCTCTTGGCGGCCTGGGGGTGACCGTGGTCCCAAATGGCCCCCAACAGCCACCTGTTACGCTCCAAAGCTGCGCCATGCTGACCAGCAAGAGAAGATCTGCACCTCTTTCACAGGCACTTCGGCTGGAAAATTGAGTACTATGAGTGGCTACTGATCCCCGACTGCTACCCGTGCACGCTAGTCTTCTTTGGGTATCTCAGATGTTGACCAGTCAATATATGAACTTAGAGATGCCAACAAATATTGCAAAGCTGAGTTGTGGTGAGATTGCGAAATCAGCCTTAGTGGTCCTATAGAGGCAAAATAAGCTCAATTCAAGATCCTTGACTCCCCACTCAAAGGTACCTCCACCCCAGAGCAGCCCACCAATCCAATCGCCGATCCAGATAATGTGAGGATTAAGGGAAAATGCTAGTCGCGTTGGTATTTGTCTAGGGAAGGTCCCCGCCTATACAACGGCCATAGGCCTTTATCCCTTGCTTAGTATCTTCCTTCACAATAATAAGTACGAAAGCTGGTTTACTCGACCGGTATTGATAAATTTACAGTTTTTATGCTATTGTTGAAGACACCTCGGAAGGTTTTGTGTAAAGTAGAGTTCGGAAACCATCATTTTAATGGTCCCTGATGCATGCAATTCCATCCAGTCAATGCCAGTAGCTGAAACAACGAGAGTCAATAGTCAGGAGGACAACTTGATCACGGCACAAAGACACATTACAGTCTATTTATAACAGCTGTAGGAACTACGTAGTTTTCACAGTTAGCCGTATTCCCAACAATGGTCCCTGGACTAACCCAGTGGGAGAAAAAGGAACAACTTACTCAGAGGGACCCTGCCAGCCGACACATTTCCAGCAATCAAAGAAATGATATGGATCATACTTTTTCTTGATTCGAAGCAATTCCGGATACTTTGATCCAAAGAACGTCTCCTGCCACTCTGGTTCCAAGTAATGGCCTTCATTCAGGTAGCAGCCTCCACCGGGGGTAAGTTCCTTCATGGGCTCGACCGTATCCAGCCATGTTTCCAAAAGTTCTGCCTCAGTTGAGTTGCTGAGCTGCTCCGTCCATCCACCAGTCATGAGGACATGCCAAAGAGCCGAGCGCCAGGCGGGATTAACACTTGTCGCATCCCCGTTTTGGTGGTTCACCGGGGTGGTCATGATGACCTGGGAGACGGAAGTCTCGGGAAGTACGTTATTGCTAAGGCGGATGCCGTCGAGGACGGCCTGGACGAGATCGGTTACGGTGTGGCGGGTTTCGAATAAGGATTCTGGCATTAGCCGACCTGCCACGACTCCGAAGATGCCGCCTGGGGTTAGTCTGGCGGCAATCTTGTTGGTGACCAGGAGGAACTCGGTGTATTTGGGGTAGGTGCTCTTGCTGACTCGGATACTGGGGTTGTTCGTCACGAAGGAGGCAAATTCACTGGTGAGAGATTTCAGGGCTGTTTCGTCGTTGGACGGCAAGACGAGGTAAATCTCGGCTTTAGTCGGCCAGTAGTACGCATGACCTGAAATGTTGTGGTGGGACCAGAAGGGTTGGTTCGTCGCGTGCTGGGTAAGAAGTTGTTCCAGGGCCGGGTAATTGGCCGTCTCATTGCCATGGAGCGTGAAGTTGGCCTCGAGCTGATACACATTGATATTAACGGCCGGGTGAAGTTGGAACCGGTAGCTTGTGAGAATTGCGAAGGTGCCTCCGCCTCCACCTCGCATGGCCCAAAAGAGCTCGGGGTCATTGCATCGGTTGATGGTGCGGAATTGGCCATCTGCCGTCACAACGTCGAACTCGACCGCATTGTCCACCATTAGACCGTACGAAGGACCAAAAATACCGTGACCACCTCCTTGACCAAACCCACCCGCCAGGCCCACCGATCCTTCATTTCCGCCCGTCACATCCATGTTGAACGCCTGGAAATAGGTGTAGACATCCGACGCTTGAGCACCAGCCCCTATCTCCCCGATATGTTGACCGTTCGAAACCGGACAGTTCGACGCAACAAAGTCCGCATGATACTTCATCGTGTTCATGCGGTGAGTCCAGATCGCAAGAGTGTTGGGACTGGTCGAGCGGCCAAAGTAGTCATGTCCAGTGTTCTTGGCGGTGACTCTGAGGTTATGCTTTCGGGCAAACTTGACAGCGGTGACCACATGTTGAGGTTCAGAAGCATCGACATACAATGACGACAACCGGCCGAGGTGGCAGTCGTCTGAGAGGGATTTGGACGGTCTGGCCGCATTCAGTGCGCATGTTTCGGTATGGCAAACTTCCCAGTTGAGGGATGTCGCTGCGCCGTATACATCGGTTCGTATCTGGTTTGTTGTGTAGTTCTCTGCGGCGACCACACAAGCTGAAGGGTCGTAGTATGGAGAACTATAATAGCAGGTTGCGGCGTAGGGCATTGTGCGGTGCAATCTGCCAGACAGACTGCTATTAAAGCTCGCCCATTCTTTCGTCGACGGCCAAGAAGATTGTCCAGTGTGACTGTTGTACTCCGAAGGTGTCGCTGATGTGGTGAAGATTAGGCTCAATAGGGCCACCAATGCGGGTGCGGCATTCGCTAGACAACAAGTTATGTGCACCATCGCTCGGGGTTTGAACGTCACAATTAGAAGTACGTAGGAAAGGAAGAAATTGCTGCCGCATCATGAAGAGCTCGGTGTCGGCTGTCCCCATTATTTATGATGAGCCACCCAGGGAATGTTTACTGGACGACAAAGCAGAGATACCCGTAACCTAACGTCTCCCAAAGTGGTTGTCCGTCGACAGTCGACATGTCTCCTTTCATTGGCCGAGCATCTTTCATGCCCGAAAAGCACTAGCGCTGGCGTGGCGCCGAGCGCTCCATGCGGTTAGTAAATGAGCTTGAATCTCACTGTGGCTGTGGGGTATATGGTATATCGCAACATCACACCTACCCGAAGAGAACTAGCCCAGGGTTTTACTTCAGTTGCTTTGGCTCTCGGAAGATGAAATGGGAAGTCCGCCTTGAAGTTCGCCTTGAATGCCCAACTGGCTCCCTATTGGGCCCCACGGGGGCGGTTACACCTATGCAATGGACGAGGAGGTGTTGGAGTTCGCGACTGGCTTCTCTCGTGATTTCAGCTCCTGAATGACGGCACACGCGCTAATCCTCTAGGGGTAATCTAGATGCTGGTCCACTCACCATCTCAATACCAGTAGGGCTGTGATCTCCATGACCTCGACATCGAGTTGACCATGGTCTAATCCCAAGGACGTAAAAGGGAGCAGCTTTTCCCTTGTTCGATGGACAGATCAAGCAGTGTTGTCTCCAGTCTAACATACTTGTCCAAACATTCATTGTTCTTCTTCTTCTTCTTCTTCTACTACTACTACTACTTCTACTTCTACTTCTACTTCTACTTCTACTATTCCGGCCACTACAGCACCACCATGGGAAAGATCACCTACCGGGACGGCATTGCAATCCTCCAGCTCATCATATTCCCCATCATCCTCGTTGCCGCCATTTTCATCTGGAAGCGATCAGGCTGGAGGGTCGGCAGCAAGATCTGGCGATTTCCTGTCACACTCTCGCTCATTCGAATTGCTGGCAGTATTTCTTCGTTGCTCTCCATCAATAACAACTCGTACAACATCAAAGTGGCTGAGGCAGTATGTCAGTTGATCGGTCTAGCCCCTTTGCTGCTAACATTTATCGGACTGCTGCGTCAAATGTAAGCTGGCGACCGCCGAAGTTCTCCATCCCACCAAAACGCAGACTAACAGTTGTGCTCTCAGTGATGTGGAGGAGAAAATGCCGCCCAGGCCGATGAAATTAGTGACGGTAATCACCTTCATTGGCCTTATTCTTGGTATCGCAGGAGTCAGTTCCGGTGGTTATCCACCCGGCAATCTCGCCAAGGCCGCCATGGGCATCTTCCTCGCCGTCTTCGTGCTTTTCCTCGTACTGAGTGTCTGGTTATTCTTGGAACTGAGCGGTTCATTGCGACGATTCCAGAAGAAGCTCTTTATCACCATTGTCCTGTCTACCCCCTTCTTGGTGGTCCGGCTGATCTACTCAGCCCTCGGCGATTACACTTCTCTGCATACTTTCTCTCTGGATGGAAATCCAACCGTCTATCTATGCATGGCGGTGCTGGAAGAAATCATTGCCTTGGCAATCACCATGGTCTTGGGTATATTGGCTGTGTTGGAGCCGGACTTTGTCAATGCCAAACTCACTCCTCAATCCCTGGAGGACCCGGAACAGAAGCCTGAGAGGGTGATTTTCTAATTCCAGGGGAATGCGGTGTTACTCGAGAACATAAATCTTAAATCCGCGCGGTGTTGGAGCACGGCGAAAATATCCCAAATCGCAGAGTGATGTCATCAAATCTGAATTTATTGCTCAGGTACAATGGAGCAAGCTTGAAATTCCAGCAAAGCTTCATCAGCTCATCGATATTGCTGTAGGTTCCATGCGATTGGTCGCGGAAATGGTTCGGACTACCAGTTGGGATATGCGAGATGAGCGAAACTCGTTCATTGTTATCTTCAACCTCTTGTAATTCACTGATTGGACAATCATCTGGGTAAAATTCGATGGGTTCGGTGTAGGTGTAGAAGTTCTGTCTATAGTAGAAGACACTGTTGTAAGAGATGATGGGTAGCTTGCTGTTTGTGTAGGGCAGAATATGAGCCGGGGCTCGCTAGCGGCCTGGACTGATGCGATACCGGTCAAGGCAAAGCAGTTTTTTGGCTAGGGCTTGGTAGACCCATTGTGGGCTGTATTGGCTTGGGACATTATCAGATGGAAATTGGAAGGCTGGAAGCCTACTATGTACTCTTGGGGGCCAACAACTCGATTGCCTGATATGGGCTAGCGAAAGAAGACTTAGCAGGTATGTATTCACCAGCGGCCAACATACTAAGTGAACCCACCTCCTATAAATCATGGCTTTGGTTTCTGAGAGCTGAGGAATTTGCGCATAGCTCTCCAAACGTATAGTTTCGTCTTTGCCAGAATACTATACTGGACAGGAGAGCTCCATTCATACAACTCACCTCTCCAAAGAGCACCCTTTTTAATCACGCCATTATAAGAAGACAAGAGTCTCCTACAATCTCATGTTCTTTTTAGAGATGCTCTTCCCATTGCTAGTTCTTCCAGCAATTTTGACTCTCGCCGATGCCCGTTCTGTTCTGAACCGCTCGGCCTTCAACCCGATCCGATGGTCGAATTGCACATTTCCCGCGCCAGGGTTCGACTGTGGAACTCTTGATGTACCAATTGACTGGGATGACCCTTACGGCGAGAAGGTCCAACTTGGAATGCTACGTCATAAAGCATCCAACCCGGCGCAAAGAGTTGGCAGTCTATTATTCAATCCCGGCGGACCAGGTGATAATGCGACTCAATATGTGGCAGCCGGCAGCAAACTATTTGGCCAAGACATTGCCAATCGGTTTGACATCGTGGGTCTCGATCCTCGAGGTGTCGGCCTTAGTTCTCCTATCCGATGTGATCCGGAAATCTACAACCAGCGGGTTGCTTACTGGCCGTCAAACCAGACTGAGCTTGATGCATTGGTCCAAAAATTTCAGAGATTTGGAGAGAGTTGTCTTAATATGACTGGATCATTGGTGAAGCACATGGATTCTATCAGCGTCGCCAAAGATATGGAAGCGATCCGCCAGGGGCTAGGCGACGAAAAGCTGAACTACATTGGGCTATCATACGGAACGTTGATAGGACAAACTTACGCGGAACTCTTTCCTCAGAACATCCGGGCAATGGCTTTTGATGGCAACATGGATCACAGCACAGATCCTATCTCGTACCTTACGGTCAAGTCATTAACCTATGAGAGTGGGCTGGTCCGGTTTGCTGAGTGGTGTAGTCAAAGCACGACTTGTCCATTGAACGGAACCTCAGACTACATTCTGCGAGTATTTGACGATCTGGTTGAACAAGGAATCAAGAAGCCTATCCCTGCACCTTCGTGTAAGGCCAGCGGATGTCGCGAAAGCGTGACTGGCTCCGAAATCCAGTATAATATGAACTCACAACTATTTGTCAAATCTGGACTATTCGGAACATGGGCGAAACTTGGTCAGCATCTCCTCGACGCCAAAGAGGGGGATGCTTCGGGACTCTCCACCCAACTTGCCACGAGCTCAGAGTCGGATGCTTTCCAGGGCACTGTGATCAGCTGTTCCGACTGGTACCACCCCGAAGCTTCTCTTGTGGATCTCAAGTACAAAAACAATCTTGCCAGTGCCATGTGGCCGCATGTCGGCACCGGCAACTACGGACTGAATCGTTGCATCGGATGGCCTTTCCCGCAGGTCAACAGAGAACACACAGCTATGATTCATCGGACGCCTCGCATTCTCCTGGTTAACTCACAATATGATCCATCAACCTCGTACGTCTGGACAAACGGGCTGAAGGAGCAGATCAGCAACAGCACACTTCTCACACGAAAGGGTGACGGCCACACATCATACTTGTTGTTCGGTGAGACATGGAAGCTTGTGAACGCCTACATAGCCAACTTGACAATCCCCGCCGACAATACTATTGTCAACAGCTAATCGCTTTTGGACATAGCGGTTTTATTCAGAATAGATCTTGTATCTGCTAGGAAATTTATCCAGCTAAGCTTAGTAGAACGGTTTGAGGTCACCTTTCAAGTCTGCGCGGTTTCAATGATATCTCCGAACTACTTCACTTTTTGCCGTAAAGTACCTTAGTCGCAAGTCTTTTATATGCTTCGGCTTCCGACTGTTTATTGAATTTAGCGGATCTTTTGAGAGATGATACAGAGCGCAAGTACTCAGCCCCTGCAGTCGATACGCTCAATGAAGGTACCCACCCCCTTCTCCGTTACCTGCACTGTATAAAGAAGGGCAACTCCTCTCCAAACATGCCACAGCCTGTCATCCGTCGGAGAATAGTTCCTGCTCCTTCCCCTAACAGGTAATTCCAAAGTCCTGTAAGGTCTTGGGCCTAGTACCACATATCCAGCTCGAAAAAAAAGGTCTTGATTCCCATCACATTCTAGTTCAGGTCATGACTTGCCTTGGGGAATCATCTTCTCTGCCTCGCCCCTGGAGTCCGAGGGACCGAATGGTAACCTTGCAGAATTAGCCGGTGAGAATTAACCGGTAATCATCTAGGTGGATAAGGAAGTCTTAAAGAATTTGTCTATTCTGGAAGTAATAATGAAAGCGTCTTAGCGAGTTATAATTAAGTATCTCTATGTAGTGCCCTTCAATGTTCTCTCAGTATCCTTAGAGATAATATAACTAAGACCAGACTAGATGGTTATGATGACAGCAAAATATCTATGGAATAAGTTAGAACACGCGGGGGAGGGAGGGAGGACTCAAGAACATTCAGCTACAGAATAGTGGGCTTCAGGGGGGTCGGGGG